TCACTTATGGATCTCTATGTACAATTGAGTGAACTCAGAATAAGCAGGTAGCGTGCAACGCGTTCTTCTCCACAGTAGAGAAAAAGAAGATTGCTTACATATATTGAATATTAGCAATGTTGTGGTACACCAATAGTATTTTCCTTGTTCAAGATCCATCTGTACCAGAGGTTTCCAAACTTTCTCAGTTCAGAGTGCTCTTAGCGTTTCAGAAGTTTTTTTACAGCACCCCATGGTTCCCAAACTGTGTGCCACAATTCCCTGGGACACCACAGAAAACTCACAGAATATTTTAATTTTTTGAGGGAAATATAGCAACATAGTTCACGTGGTATCCAACAGTTGTCAAGTATCAGTGTATTTCCTTCGAAAATTTAAAATATCCCATGGCCCCCCCGTGAGTTCACTGTGGTGCCCTGAGGTGCTGCATCGCACAGTTTGGAAACCATGGATTTATACCTTTCATCCATTCCTGGAAGTTCCCATATTCTTTTATGTTGCATTGGGCAGCATCCAACTTTATGTTCCTTGAGCAAAACTCTCCTTTCATAAATAGAAGTGACTTAGTGAAAGAGTAGGATATTTCCTGTTGGGCTGGATGTAGACTTGCCTTTCTGCAAGTGGAAGGACCAAGATTCAATGGAGGTTTCCACTGGAAGGAATGGAGAAGAGGTATTTCAGCATTACCTCCCATACTGTTCAGGGGGTCACCAACCTGTCTGGATCAGATTTCTTTCTTTCTTTCTGAGGAGGTAATACAGGAAGTTGCAGAGGATGGAGAACTGAATTAAAACCTCCTTCAGCTTCTTGGATGGTATGTGTGGTATTGCACTTATAGGAATTCTGGATCTAACCCATTATATACTCTCTAAATTTGATTGATCCAGGCAACTTGTTTCTCATAGCAAATAATCAATTTTATTACAGTCATAGATCATTGTTCATAATAAATCCTTAGCAATCTACTGATGCTATGAGGCTTGATAACTTGAGATGTCTCCAGCATATTTAGTGGCAACATACCTCTAGGAATTGATCTTCTTGGATTTTTTTTTTTTTTTAAGGGTTTGGAATGTGCGTTACAATCATTCTCATGACCAGTTAGTACTTACTGGCAGCAGTGACAGCAGAGTCATTCTTTCCAACATGGTATCAATTTCTTCTGAACCTTTTGGACACTTGGTAGATGATGATGAACTTAGTGATCAAGAAGACCGTCAACAAGATGACAAGTAAGAAACTTACTTGCTTTTAATAAACTGGCTAAAGATGCATGTAAGTTCTAATTATAACTTGGTTAATGGGATTCTTCTCTACTAATTTTAGGATATTTATGTATACACCTTACATAAGTAGCTCAATGTATTTTGTATCTTGTAAGGCAGTGGAACTGGCACTTCTCATATTTTTAATGACTGTTCTTTATACCATACACATTGAGGCCACAAGGTCACATGGACTTGGATCCAAAACTCATGGAAGTTTAGGAAAAAAAAAAAAGTCTTGTAACTTCCATAGGTTCATACGTTACGCAGGTGGAGGAAGGTTTTGGTTTCCCACAGAATGATTTATTGGTGCTTATCCCCTTATTGGTTTCTCTAGTTACTTTATAACACAGAACAATTCAGTTTAACCCAATTTGTACAGCTGTAAGTTTAAGAGTTGCTTGAAAAATTGTCACTTGCTTATCATTCCTAGATTCTTCTACCCATATCAAATTTCTAATTTCTTCTGCATTTTTAAATAACTGAGATCTACTACAATATCCACACTCTACACTGTATTCCACACTACACCTGCCCACTTCTTATGGGTTTTCCTCATACATTTTATCCTCCTAGACCCAGAAAATTCAAAGGAAAATGGCATTTAAATAAAATGTCCTGAAAGATATGGTAGGCTGCAACCCTGAAAACTCCAGACTGCAATTACCTATTACAAGTTCACTTGTGTTGTCTAAATATAACATTTGAGAAATGATATGATAAATAATGAACTTGAGGACTATAAAAATTCTCTTTTTATATGCATTCACATCATATCCTTCAGGACTCTTGTCAATCATATTTTGCCAGTGAGAGAATTGGATGTCAGTCCTCAAATATCATTTCTGCACCTTTGTGTGTATCAGGAACAGAAAGCACAATTTATTTCATTTCAAATTTCTCTAAATATCATATAGCACAGGAAAACAGCAAGCGCAATAATATTAGATGACCCTCTGGGTGTCATGATTCCCAAACATAGAACGTTTCAGCATGCAGAAAAGGATTTTGATAGTAAAAGTTCAGGAAATTTCCCCAGTGTTTATTCAGGGCCAACTAGTTCAGAAGACTCAGCCATGTGATCATCCTCTAAAATCAGAGGGTGAGTTCCCAGGTGAATCTCAATCTTGCCCATCATCACAGAAATGTGAGAATGAAAAATCAGCCAAAGTCTTTACAAACCAGATTTTAGTCACCTTCTCCTGAGGGTTGAGGAATGATAGGAACTTACCACACTATAGGTCATAGTCAACCTGCATAAGATTTCAGTTGCCTAACTTCCCACTTAGACAAAAAACTCTACAGTTACCCTAGTAGGCAGGGCTTCAGTTAGCAGAGCTCACTGAGTAATCCAGGGCTGCATAAAGATTCTATGTTTGAAGTGTGGGTAAAGGAACCAGGTTGAAGCATTATAAAGAGTGAAACAGGTTGATAGATATTTGATTAAACATTAAATACATAGCAAATTAAGATCAAAATCAATTCCAGGCAGTGGTCTTTTACACTTCTAGTTAAAGATATTGTATAGTTGTTGTTTTATCCTTCTATCATGGACTTTGTAGCAAGGAAGAAGTGATAGAACATGGGATGATTACATGAGATGATTTCTTCTGATAGCTAATGATGTTGCTGCTGTATTGCATGATTTTGTTTCATTCAAACAGGAGAACTAGCTATTTCTTTCATGTTTTGTTTGGGGACATAGGCATTGGAACTTTGTAACTTGTCATTAAGATTGGCTTCCTTAACAGAGGATTCCAAGATCCTCTGTTAATTTGTCATTAACAGAGGATCTTGGAATCCTCTTGGAAAAACTTGGATTTTTACCAATTAAGTGGTCATGCAAGGCTGATAAATGTCATTTATCAACCTTGCATGACCACTTAATTGGTAAAAATCCAAGTAAACCATAGGAAGCTAAAAATGAACTGTAGAACCTGGATGAATGTCCAAGAAAATGGCAAGTGTGGTTCATTCTAAGTAAGTATTGCAAGTTGCAGGGAGAAAAAATGCCTATATGCTGGTTGGGTACATACACGGCTCGAGGCCATGATGTAACATGTTCGATTTCGGTTTAGCATGCCAAAACCCAGCCATTCTGGTTTGAAAATTATGGTTATATGTTAAACAAAGAGGAGCTGCACACATTGTGTGGATCCAGCCACTAACTGGGTCTGAATTGACATGACCAGTCAGCAATGAGGACCTAAAATATAGTGGAACTAAAACAACAATTAATTCATTGGGTAGGATAGAGATTAAGATTACAATGGTTGGTCATGTAGTACTGTTTTTCAAATCTATTGTGTGGCCACATTTAAAATATTCAGCATGCTTATATTCATCTCATTTAGAAGAAACTTTATGGAGCCATGAAAATGCAGAAAAACCCTAACAAATTTATTATCTTTCTCTCAGTGGCTATTGGGAATCCCATGAGTAAGATGTATATGAAAAATTTCCTTTGTTTAGTTCCAAAATGTTGGTGTGATTATGTGCCATCAAGTCATTTTCAACTCCTAGTGACCACATACTGTAGATAGATTTTCTCCATGATGATCTATCCCTAACCTGTTCTTTCACGTCTCCCAATGTTGCGCTCATCTCCACTGTAACTGAGTCCATCCACTTTGCTGCTGGTCATCCTCTTCCTCTCTTTCCTTCCACCTTTCCCAGCATTAGAGCCTTTTCTGGGTCTTTACATAATGTGTCCAAAGTAGGATAATGTGGTCATTTTTGCTTCGAGTGAGAACTCTGGGTTGATTTGTTCAATGATCCATCATTTTGTTTTCTTGGCTGTCCACGTTATTTTCAAGAGCCTTCTCCAGCACCAAAGTTCAAAGGTGTCAATATTCTTCCTATCCTGCTTCTTTAAAGTCCAATTTTACCTTCCATAGAGTGTCACAGGGAATGTCACGGCTTGCATGATTCTGATCTTTGTAGGTATAGACAGATCACAGCATTTGAATATCTTTTCCAAGACCTTCATAGCTGCTCTACCAAGTACTAGTCTGAGGCATACTTCTTGACTGCTTGTTCCTTTACTGTTGATGGTTGATCCTAAAAGGAAGAAGCTATCCACCACTTCGATACCTTCATTGTCAATTCTAAGGCTGGTTGTTCTACTTGTTATCTTCTTTATATTTAATTTTAGTCCCATTTTTTCACTGTGCTATTTGATTTTTAATACTAGGGCTTGCAGATTCTTTGATTTTCGGTTATCAGGGTAGTGTCATCAGCATAGCGCAGGTTATTGATGTTTCTTCCTCCAATTTTAAAACCATGCTCATCTTCTTCCAATCCTGCTTCCCTTACTATGTATTCCACATATAGATTGAAAAATAAGGGAAGAGTACGCAGCCTTGTCACACTCCTTTGCCAACCTGGAGCCAGTCCTGTTTCATCATGTTCTGTCCGTGCTGTGGCTTCCTGACCTGCATATAAATTTCTCATGAGGACAATGAGATGTTCTTCCCATTTTTTCTGAGCACTTTCCACAGCTTGACGTGATTGACACAATCAAAGGCTTTTCTATAATCAATAAAGCACATACTGGCTTCTTTTTGGTATTCTTCTGCTTTCGCAATTATCCAGCGTGCATCAGCAATAATGTCTTGTATTCCTCGGCCTTTCCTAAAGCCAGCTTGAACTTCTGACATCTGTTTTTCCATGTAGGGCTCTAATCTGTATCAGATGATCCTAAACTTTATTTTGCTAGCATGTGAAATTAAGGATATTGTACGATAGTTTGCATACTCTTTTAAATCTTCTTGTTTTCGTATTGGAATGTAGATTGACTTTTTCCAATTGGTTGGCCACTGTGATGTTCTCCAGATTTGCTGGCATAGCTTGGTTAGAACATTGACTGATTCTTCTTCTGTTGCTTGCCATATTTCAGTGGGTATTCCATCAGTTCCTGTAGCCTTCTGATTTGGTAATGATCGGAGTGCTGATCTAACTTCATCTTCTAGTAATGTTGCAAATAAGGAATATCTTCTAAGGTATCTTGGATGTAAAACATATTTCTAGAAATATTCCTCCCTACTTGGTTTTTTTCTTTGGCTATATACTCTCTGATGTTGTATTTTATATTGATAGGGAGTTGCACAAATTACTTCATCACTAAGGTTTCCCTTTCATGCACCTTCTTCACAGTGCTATTTCCAAAAATTCCATACAGTATTCCAGGTATGATCGCACTGGAATTCCCAGTACTATTTTCACTGCTGCTCCATAACTGGATCAACACTTTCCTTGAGCTGTTCAAAAAATTAAAACATGAATTAAGGCAAAACACAAATATGCTGGATAGATGACCGCACCTTTATTATCCCTTCTCTAGCATTTGTCTCCAGAGACAAATTTGTTTCATTAATCCTTTTGATCCCACTAAATTTCCATTATGCCTACTAAATCTAAGTCTTTTAATATTACTTGGATTCTGGAAATTTGAGATATAAAAGATTGTGTTTCTCTGTGTGCACTAGGGGAGAATTTTACTGCCATGTCCTTGTCCTAATTTCTGAATGTGCACAGCAGCCTTATTTGCTGTCAGCTTAACTGCTAATTTGTTGCCCAAGCAGTTGATTAAGGGATGAGAGCACACTCCGTATGAGAATGATAGGCAGGATTTAAGTGATGATAGGAGATGGACTCATCAGTGATGATAGGAGATTTACTCACAATATGGAGAAAGAGGATAGATAGTATTTTTCCCCCTCTTATGATAATATATACTGGGGTCACCCCCCAAAATTAGTCATTTGTGTAATGGACAGAAGAGAGAAATGATGTCAGTACTGGCTACTAATGTGGGTTAGATATGATATTCTTCCTCTTCACCTCTGGCCCCTAGTTCTGAGATACTAGTTTCTGAATAACCTTCCAGGATCTCAGGGTAGGTCACTAGGGTTTCTATTCTGTGTGTTTGTGGTTCGTTGTCTGAAACAAGAATGCTTAAATAGTAAGGCTGTGTAGAAATTTGATATCACGGTTCAGTTTGAAGACAGTTCAATTTAATCTCCTAATTGAATGATCTTTCCAGATAAAATCAACAATTTAGATTGAACTGTTGAATTGAACTGGATGCCCTACAACCTGTTCATATTTCCCTTGGTCTGCTCCAACAAGGCTCTTGAAGTTTTCTTGGAAGACAAATGTAAAATATGCCTTATGGATTATGGTTCTCTAAGTGAGATGGATGATGGAATTAAGATGCTCAATAAAGATAGGAAGGATTGATCCACTTGGCATCTGCCATCTATATATAGTTTAATTGGTTCAGAGTATTATTAAGTACCTGCATAGGTAGCAGCTTCTCATGAAAGTACATTAAGCTTGTAATGCTTTTTTCTACTGCTTGAGTGATTATTATGATTTCTTAGTGAAAGCCCATTCTTTTTTCAACATAGAAAAGGCTAAAACATGATAATGAGCTTGCTTTAAGAAAAGTTTATCTGCTCACATTTTTGTTTCACAGTCTTTGTTTGGAAAGATTCCACTGTTTGCTGCCAAAATGCTGATGTTGGTCACTTTTTGCCTGCAGCTACAGAGACAGGGAATCTGCAGGGTGCATTTCACAACTCTTTTTGCCCCTTGGGCTGGCATCCGAGTATCGCTTTTGTACACTGTTAACCATTTGACTGGAACAGTCTATTTTTGTTTAAGGAGAGCAATTTGAGGGTTGTTAGCTTGGTGATTTCTAGTGATAATAAAAATCATGTCTGGGGGGAAAAATGACTTGAGTGATAACTGTGGAATTGGAGGTGCTATGAGACCCTAAAGTCCATTACGATAAGCAAACAACAGGAACACAAGAATTCTGTTCTCATTTTTCAAGAGCGAATGGTGCTTCACACTCACCTTTAAGCCATGTGCCAGAATTAACATTTTTTATGGCTGATGCTTTAAGTTGAATATAGTGAGCACTGCACATTGTCCACACAAGAGATTTAAGTAAGTAAATAAGTAAGTAAATAAATAAATAAATAAAAACCAGCTGCTGTCATAGGGCTTAAATTATGTAGGTTTGATCATGCAACATCCCACCCATTCAGGGATGAGAAATTATTTGCAAGATAACTCTTTTTATATCCTTCCTATTAATAAAAATTCTCAAGGAAGACGGTATATTAAATTATGAATAAAAATGCTGCTTGTTACATTGGGGGAGATGCCTTGTGCATGTGTGAACATTCCTTTTTTTTTTTTTTTTTTTTGCCTGAAGATACTTCTGTCTACACTGTAAATTATCCTTATCTCCTGCACTTCATATCTAAACATTTAATTGCACACCTAAGCAGATAAACTGTAATAGTAACCCTGCTGAATAATGCATGTTACTTATAAAGGGGATTTGTGGTAAGATGAGTGACAGCCTCTGCAAGTAAATGCTTCCTTAACCGCTTGAACTAGTACTGCTGGTAATAATAATAGCAGTAGTATTAGCAGTAGTTAGAATTAACTTTGCAAACCAGAAAAGAAAACTCTGTCACTGAGGCTCTGAAGCTTGGTCAGCATTTTGCAGAAAAGTATTCTGTATCTTCCTGAAATACACCTTTGCATGGTCCAAGCTTTTCAGAAGCAAGTGCGCAGCAGCCATTCTGTATGTTAGCAATTTACTTTAATCTCCAAAGGGAAATTCAGCAGAAGACAGAATAATTTAAGACAATTAAAAATACCAAACAGGAGAAAAAAATGTACCGAGGTGGTTTCTCTTATCACCCTTTAGCATGCACATCTCCCATGGCTTAAACTGAATAGTTAGACAGTACATTAGAACACCCTCCTCCGTGCAAAATCTTGCATGAAGAAAAGGTTGTAATTAAGAAACAGTCCATGCTTGTTTATTAAACCCTTGTTAACTTAACCTAGTTAAGTAAAAGATATCAGTGTCCCCTGACAGTGACATGCATTATACATTATCCCGTTGCTTATTCAGAGAACATCTGAGAGCTTCAGGGTAATAAAAATTGCAGGGAAGTCAGTTAGCATTACCTGAAGCTATTGTGGGGGTGTGGCCAGTTTTCCTACAAACCACATTTGTCAATTTTAAAAGGAACTTTGAAAAAAGGGTATGGGGAAAACAAAATAGATGTAGTCTTCAGGAAAAAAAAATCACCAATCATTACTCCTTTCTCTGTCATACTGACATTCATGCTCCACTTTTTATCTGCAGCATGGCTACCGTGTTCAGATAATTTTACTGATAGTTGTCAGTGCTAAGTATCTGAAACTACTGTGAAGCTTAGTGCTCAAGGAGGGCAATTATGAACTTCAGTTTGCAATACGCTCTTCAAGTAGGCTGGACAACCATTTTAACGCATAACTTCCTCTAACCTACAGGCTGGATTGCAGAAACCTTGTGAACGGATCTTCTCCCCAAATCTTCATTAACGCACTGTTTTGCTATTAAACGTGATTAAAGGATATAGGGGTGGCAGGGACACTAGTCCATTTAAAAATCCTTCATTTGTTTGTTTGTGTCTCATTCTTTCTATAATTTTCCCCTTCCAGAGTCCATCACATTTTAACAGCACATTTGAGAAGGAACATGACATTTTTCAGCATTTTATAAATCAGAATTGCTTCAATCATTTGCTTTTCTCTTCTCTTCCCTGCCCTTTTTTCTTTTTTGAATTTTAGGATTAAAGAGCCACTTCAGGATAGCATAATAGCTACCTACGAAGAGCATGAAGATAGCGTCTATGCTGTGGAATGGTCCTCAGCCGACCCGTGGCTATTTGCCTCGTTAAGTTATGATGGACGGCTTGTTATTAACAGAGTCCCCAGAGCTCTTAAATACCACATACTGTTATAAATCTATTCACATTTTTTGAGCTTCATTATCTCAATATTGGCTGATAATTGGAAATACTCCTTAAATAAATGCCATAGATGGAATATCAGTCCTTTTCTTTCTGGTGTAAATATTTGGAAATTAAAGATCTGCCATGAAAATTGCAAAAAAAAACCACAAACTTTTTTAAAACAAGAAGGGTGTCACACAGGTTACCTCCACAAATGTGTGAGGATATTATTATTATTATTATCCAATTTTCTTGTATGATATGTATTGTACTGTATGAATGAGTTCAGTTTTAGGGTGAAATATTGATCATGCATATGGAAAAACATAGCTTTCCCTGCCTCTCCTCTTCCCAACTCTCTTACTTCTCCCCCATCTCTCCAGAGGACTGAGAGGATCTATAAAACATGTTGGAATTGAGGGAGTTAATTGCCTGAAGCCATGGAGGGATTTTGTAAGGTTCCCTAGTTTAGCAATTTCCTTGCTCCATTGCTCTTCCAAGAGCATACAGTAGTTCACGTAGTTCTGTAGATTCCCTCCATCCTCTGGAGAACCTTGTGGGGTGGGAATTAACTAGAGATGAGTGTAGCAGGGAGGAGGAGGAGAAGGGAAAAATCAGTTTCATGAGATGAAATAATCCATATATTTAAAATCTATGGGAAGATAAATGAGATTCTATTGCCAGTTTGCTCTTACACTACATTAGTGCATTTCAGCTTCACTCAAGTGTTCTTGCAGCCTATCAGCAAATACTCAGGCACATGGTTATGTATGTAAGATGGGTAGCTATATAAATTTTCTAAATACAATAAATAAATATTCTGTCTTCAAAACAAATATACATTGCTCTAACCATAGAGGAATATTTTTTTTATTTAAATTATGGCAAGGATTAAGAATGGTTATTACCATGTGAAGGTACCAGTTGAAGGGTGCTACTAGTTGGAGGATGCTTTGCAGCGTACAAGAGGACTGATCACTGACTCCAGGAACAGACAGTGCATTCGGAAAGTATTCAGACCCCCTTCACTTTTTTCAATTTTGTTATGTTGCAGCCCGATACTA